AAACATTAATCTTTGAAATAATTTAACCCTATGGACTAATTCTGCATATAATTATATATGCAGGAGTAAAAATATTTTATGATTTTATTAGCACATATTACAGTACCAAATATTTGACTTGAATGAGGCATACTCGAAAAGTTTTCTCCAGGGACGAACGGTAGCATTAACCTATAATATTTATATTTCAATGAAATAATTTCAGTAATGAAGAAAAATGCTAAATATATGATGTATATTTATTTATAGGTGTATATGATATGAATATCAGTCTTTTCAAGCACTAGCTCTTTTATTTAGTTCAGAAAAAGTTTTTACTGGTTTTCAATTTCTTTTGCATTTTATTATTAAGTGAATCATCTTGTCTGTGAGAAAGGCAGTTTGTCTCTGGAGTTTTGCCCTGATGCATCTGTCTGATGAGCAACAGCATCCTTAATGAATGCTCAGGGCTCTGTTTCTAATTTTGGAATGGATTAAAATGAATTTGCTGCAATTTTCAGCCAATGGAGAATATGTTTAATGTACATCCTTCTCCTGTTTATTTCTTATGCAAACAGTATCTTCTTAACAATGCCCACTGCAGCTAATTTGCAAGTATAGATCTCAAAAATATTGTCTCGTAAAGTTTTAATAGAGCCCCATGCAACTTAATTATCCGTTATTGGCAGTTTATCTCCCGGGATGATTAGTTGGAGAAAGCTATTGAACTCTGAAATCACAAAACCTCAGATGGAAGTTTGATGAGTTATTTAACAAGAGACTGCAATAGGAGGGCATGGGGGGATTCCCAAGACGCTTATATTTTCTCCACGGCAATATATTTTTCTGCATTGAATAATCTCATTTAAACTTTTGGTTGAATTTTATGTAACTGGAACAATTATATTTAAAGCACACACAGATATCAACAGAAATGAATTCCTTCACTGATGAAGACAGTGATGAGATTCGGAAGAAATTCTCCAATCCATCTAAGTAAGTCTCCTTTGTGACAGTACTGAAATCCATTCTGAATGTTCTGCAAGAATTCCTTTCTTTTTAAGTTCCTGCTATCTACAGATGTTGAGTCTTATATTTCCATGAAGCAACTGAATCTGCTCTTGTTGTCAGGACAAAAAAGATAACTGAAAATCAATATGGAGTCCCACCAGGACAATTATGAACATTACAATATTGCAATGAATTTTACTCAGGTATGAATGATAATCATGGATTACTGGCATCTCCAAATAAATTAATTTCTTGCAATATTACATATTTACAGTAAAAATATCACGGGCTATAAAGAAGGTAGAAGAATAAGGACACAACATGATGACCAGCAAGTACAGGTAGTCCTTGACTTACAACAGTTCACCTAGTGACAGTTCGAAGTTACAACTGAAAAAAGTGGCTTATGACCATTTTTCACACTGCAACGGTCTTATGGTTTACATTTGGATGCTTGACAACTGGCTCACATTTATGATGGTTGCAGTGTCCTGGGGTCATGTGATCACCTTTTGCAATCTTCTAACACAGAGGTCCCCAACCTTTTGAGCATCAGGGACCGGTTCCGTGGACAGAGGTTTTTCTGCAGACTGGAGGAGGCGTGGTTTCATGTACTGCCTGCATCCCGTGGATGGAATTTTGCTTGTTTCGGTGCCGGTCCATGGACCACGTGTTAGGGACCCCCGTTTTAACAAGCAAAGTCAATGGGGAAGCTAGATTCACTTAACAACAACTAATTCAACAACTGCAGTGATTCACTTAACAATGTGGCAAGAAAAGTCATATAATGGTGCAAAACTCACTTAACAAATTTCTCAGCAACACAAAATTTGGGCACAATTATGGTTGTAGGTTGAGGACTATCTGTATAAGACTCAAAATATTTTAAATTCTTCTGATTTTTCAACCCATTCCAAACTACTTTTTAAAAACAATCCACTGAATTTAGTGAATACTTATTGTCATGTATGAGTATGTACAAAAGCCTAGTTTAAATACAAATCCTTTTCCATTCTCCTATTTTTTTCTCCATTTTCTCTATTTTATGTTACCAAGAAATATTTAAGAAGTTTTACTTAGAAATAAATATGAATAGCTCAGATCTGAACAAATACTAACATTTTAATCTTATATTTATTAAAAGTGTGTGAGACTAAATTCTGAGAAGCTATGGAAAAGATAGTTTTAGTTAATATTTAGCACTTTCAATAAATACATACATTGTACTAAATTGTACTAGCAAAGCAAAAAGAGAAAGCACAACAATTTTACCTAAGCATTTTAACTATTTGAGTGTGACGCCGTTCTCACATAACCTAATGCAGACTTTCAGTTTGGCAATAAACTGCAAAAGCTTTTCCTTTCTAATGTTCATCTACTTTGCAAAATTAAAAGTTTCCTGAATCTGAGAAATAAGAATGAAGAATATTAATGAGACATCTGCTAGTTATGTCCCTTGCTGTATCAAGCAGCTCTTCTTCAGTCACTCATGCCTTTATAATCTTTCTGATGGACCACTGCAATGTGCTCTACATGGGGCTACCCTTGAAGAATATCCAGAAGCTACAGCCAGTGCAGAATGTGGCATTGTAAGCAATTTGGGGCACCCCTAGGATTGCAAATGTAACATCCCTGCTATGTGAGTTGCATTCAATGCCAGTTTGCTTCCAGGTCCAATTCAAAGTGGTGGTTACCTTTTAAGTTCTAAATGGCATGGGACCAGATTAACTGTGGAACCATCTTGTCCCAATTATAACAACTCACTCCTCCCAATCAGGCCGGGAGGATATGTTCTGGACCCTTAAAGAATTTTGATTGGCAGGGCTTAGGAAAGGTGCCTTTTCTGCTGTTGCCCTGCCCTATGGAATATTTTGTTCTCAGATTAGATGCTAGCCTTCTTGAAGAGCATCAAGATCCAATTCTGCCACTGACCTGGGGATCTAAGAGTGACATGTAATCCTGAAGATTGATTGGTGGCTTGATGACACTCTGCCTTTTAAATTTTATAACTTTTTAACCTCTTTTTACTTGTTTTCACTTTGTTTCTATCTATGTTTCTTTTATATGACTGTATGACTTTTATTTGTAAACCATCCAGACTCACTCAGGCAAGAAGGATCGCATATAAATTTGATAAATAAATAAATGGTGGTGCATTGTAGTGAATGTAATAATATTGTCAATCTGTTTGCACAGGATTCACATCTGACCCATTTCAAAATTCCTGAAGGTTTGGGATGCTTCTATATTGTGTTTTGAATATATTCTGAATCAGCTTCCTACTTAGATAATTGCATTCTTTATCTTTGTGGGGAAACAGTTTTATTTTTGTTTATTCTAAAATAACTGCAATGCATACGAAGTCACAGTGAAGACAATCTTCTAATTTGAAATGCTGACTGCAACTGATGAATGTACATCTACTATAGGGATATTGTTTGAAAATCTTCCCAGAAAATAAAACAGAGGCATATCTTATGCTATTTCCTTTTCTTCTATTCTGTTATATAACCGAGTGCATTTCTCATCAACTAAAACAAGCTTTAGCCTGTTAAAAGAGACTTTCATCTGGCAATCAATTTGAGCAGAATGGCAGAGAGATTAAATATGTGCTATTTTTCCTCAGATCAAGATTTTGGGTCATTGGGAGATCACTCACTTTAAACAATGCTGCCAATTTTCCTTTCTACGTATTTAATAATAATAATAATAATAATAATAATAATAATAATAATAATAATAATAATAATAATAATAATAATAATAATAATAATCATGCTTCAGAGCTTTCCCTTCATTGTTTAATGCAATGACCAACAATTTATGTTTTTGTTTTGCAACGGACTACCTACGAAAAAAGAGTCTTGATTATTTTAATCCCGTTTTGTTCTGACTAACCCATACCCCTTCCAGTCTGTGTACAAACCGCATTGTCTTAACTGCACAAAGAAAACGGGCAACTTGATGTGCTATATTTGCAAGAGAAATATGATTAACAGAATCGTGATTTTTCCCCGTGATTTTTCCCGAGTTCACATAATACGTTGCAGATCAGCTAACCCGTAGAGTAGGCTGTCCAGAAAAGCTTCTCTTTAATACATATTCTGCATGGATGTGACCTTGCAAATTTCTTAGGCTCCGGACAGGGATTAACAAGCACTGAATTAGGTTTCCATACAAGTTTTCCAATGCAAATTATAAGTTCACCCCTGCCATTTACGATAAATAGCCAAGAACCTCTGAATCTTCCAGAGGTATCTTTTCCCGCAGTTGGCCGTGCCTGTGCCTTTAGTGCAGTGTTTCTCAACCTTGACAATTTTAAGGCATGTGGACTTCAACTCCCAGAATTCCACAGCCAGCGTTGCTGGCTGTGGAATTCTGGGAGTTGAAGTCCACATGCCTTAAAATTGTCAAGGTTGAGAAACACTGTTAGTGGATGAGGTCCTCCGGCAGTTTAGTCCGCGTGGAGCTGCGGGGCGCAGCACAGATTGGAGGAAGCTCGGGTGCTGAGAGACAATAAGCGGCGTCATTGGGCCGGGGCGGAAGGCCATTTTCTAACAGGCGGTTCCAATGCAACCGTACATTAACTCCTCCCACGGTTTCTCCCTACATTGGACTTGAGCTTTCAAAGCTCAAGTAGCCAATCGTTGAGCCCAAAGGGCCGATCTCCCAGCAAAAGCTGTCTGGATATCAACAAGTTTTTGTGTTTGGAGAGAGCACCGAGTCTGTTTGAAATGAGATGACTGCCAGTGGGACATAATCTACATCTTCATATATTAGAATGTGGCATTAACCTGGTTCTGTTGTCAACGCGCGAAGACGCGCCACACAAAACAGCTTTTCCTGTTAATAAACTACAAACCCCATCAACCAAGGCGGCAGCGGCGGGACACCACTTCTGAGCTTGCGCGTTAACTAGGTGGAGGTGGGGCTTAATGCGATCAGCTTTTCCTTTTTTTTCAATGAATCGGTTCCAGTGAAATTCGGGAGGATGTGTGGGCGCATGCGTGAAAGTTGTAGATTGGTGTTCGGCGCCATGCGGCGTCTGCAGTTGTCTCTTGGGATTTTACAGGTTTTTATTCTGTTTCTGTTTACTGTGTGCTGGGGCAGTAGCTCAGCAGGTGAGTGTTGTTAGGATGATGTTTCACTGATCGGAAGCAAATGGGACAGAAATATATCTCGATCCAATTTTGCTGCTCTATGGGATCCAGGAGTTCTTTCTGCACCATCTCATTCTTGACTCTCTGGAATCAGTCATTCATTGTTCAGAGGCCAATATCATATTGTATTCCTTTATAGGTTTCCTTTTTATTTGCCAGAGATTTGAACATTCATCTAGAGCTTGTTTCCTAACGCGTTGAACTATTCTCAATATTATACTGTTTTTGCAAATAATTAAAAATAAATTTACCGAACTAAATCGCTAAATTAAGATTTTTCTACGATCTGATATCCTACAGTTTATCAGATATCTTTGGCATCACGACGAATTCTAGGAGTTTCTCTCCCACATCTGGAAGCATTGCTTTTTGTATATTAGAAAACAGACTGAGGAATCTTAATCATAAAAACAATATGATAGCATTTGCTTTTGTAATTTATTAGGACTGTGCAGCAATTTGATTCAATTCCAAAAGAAGTGTTTTGACATAACACGTTTAGGTCCATTTTGCGTAGCTGCATCTTTTCCTGTGCTTGCTCTTTACCTCTGAACAACTTTTTCCGAATCAAGCGTGGAGTGCTGCTAATCCCTTAAATCTACTTTTACATTTTCTGCAGATTAATTAATGAAAAAGAAAAGTTTATCCAGGTAAAATTGCATCTGCAGTTTGTTTAAGCAGTAATTTAATTATTGCTGGAGTATATCCCCCCCCCCCTTTGAACATTGGAGAATAGAGCTGAAGCTATTTCTGCTCACTTGTTGCCTTTAATATCTGATAACTATTGGTCCCAGCTCCTGTTGACCATGCTGACTCTGGACTATATAGTCCCACATGTCAGAAGACTCTAGAATAATGTAATGCAGCATTATTTGTAATATAAAAATATCACCACAAAAGTTTTATTCACGATTAAATACTACCTGAGTGCTATTGCATTTAAAACCACATCATTCTGTGGGCATAAATGTAGATGCCAGAAAGGAATTTGTGGCTTGGCATGGTCACTTCGTAAATGAAGAACTTAAAAAATACATTGGCTTGTCAGTGACAGTTACTCCTACATCTTATCTACTTATGCCATACATTGAAGTTTTTAATCAAAACAATACTGTGCAAATAAATTATCATGCAGGTGAATTAAACCATAATTTAGAGGCAAATTTTTATAACTTTATGACTTTTATAACTTTAATCTATCTCTAGTTTGCAAGACCCTTTTTTCCCCAGATCTAATTAATGTACCACCATTAATCTACACATCAGCTAACTCATGTTTAGCAGAACTCAGAGCAGTTTATATGAAAAACAATACATTATTAGTCAAGGAAAAAAGAGTGAAAATAATATCCAATGTGCTAAAGATTCAAAGGAAATTAAAGAGATACAATGATACATGGATTTTAACTAAAAATATTGCAAGACAAACATTTTAATATACTTAGCTGATGTATTTAACAAGAAGTTCATAATGTATTTTCCTGCAGTTATTTAATTGTATAATTTAAGGGAAAAGACTTTAATCATTTTGGGGGTTTTTGTATGCTTTCGTATCTTTCGAAAAAGTAGTATTAGAGGAAAACGTGAATACTTTTATCATAAAAGTGTAAATCCAATTCCATTCATGTTGCAAGCACAGCATTCACAGAACATACTGTATATGAAAACCTTGTAGTACCTGCATCAACAACACAGTGGAAATAATAATGACATTTGCAAAATTGTCTGTTTAAATTTTAGATGCACGCTGGAAAAAAATCCTTGTTCAAATTGATGAGGCGGTGAAGAACTACAGGCCTTGCGTGAAAGATAACTGTGAGTGCTATCAAAGGTAAGGCAAAGGTATCTCTGATGGTTCCATCCATGACTTATGTTCTGATTACCTATTTACTCATTAAGAACTTCAATTATTTATTTATCAAATTAGCTGAATCTTCTGAGTTTGTAGGCAACTATTAGCCCTGGCTGGGTTTATATAAAATGTATATTTTAACACAGTGGAAATGGTCTGGTTACTTTGTGATTCTGTAAATTACATGAATATAGAGTTCTCATATGTTGCTATGTCATAATTGATTCTTGGTTTAGTATCTTTTACAAATCTTGCTCAGAGTCAAGTAAACTTTAATTAAATTATATCTTAGTGGAATATCAGTGCAGTTGTGATCTCCAGTCCTTCCATTTTATAGCATGGTTTTATGCAATATGCTAACTGTAACATGATTTACTTAGAATTTTGTGTGAATCCAGCAATTATGATGTAAACAAACAATTATGATTTTGTCAACAAGTTAAATCATGATTTAGTATTTAAGATTTAGTTTCCCTTTTCCCCGTGTAATTGTGAGGAAAAGTTCAGAGGCATTTGCTTCCATCTTAGTTAAATCATTTTTATCATGTTTAGTTTGAAGAAATAATCTTCAAAAACCATATTTGCAGAAGCTCACCATAGCTGGGCAACCCTTGAATTTATTATATCTCTCCCTGCTGTGCAGAGGGTCAAGATCTTGAGACTTTCTAGACTTTATTAGCATATGTAATGCTAAACAAGTAAAATATATTCTTGAAATCATAAGACTCCAAGGGCTTCTCCAGGCCACAGATTTAGGATAAGATAATCATTTCTTTTCCAAGCTTTTAATTGTTAATTACTGATTTAACTTTTATTGTAAGTGTATTAATTGTATTATATTTTATACTTTGCACTTTTATTTGTTAAAGTTACTTTGTATTGGAATAAACAGAAAATTGAGGTGTATATTCAATAATAACAGAATAAAATATTTTCATTGTATTTATTGCAAATGTTTTAATTTATTTAAAAACTCACAGATAAAATAAAATATTGCACTTTCTTTTAATAATCTATTCTGTATCATACTCATTTTGAATACTTTTTCCTTAAAGGTAAATTATACCTTTATTAATGATACCTTGGTAAGTTATTTTGAGATTGTACTACACAATTGCTTTCATTTTATATTATTTTCTATAAACTGTCCCAAAGAGGTTCTCTAGAAAGCATAAAAACATATTTAAATACATCAACTGTACATATTATGTATAGCATTTTGCTATAAAAGATAAATACAATTTCATAATGGAAACTTTCTTTAAAAAATAGTTCAGTACACAAACATTTTAGAATGAATAGAAAGAGAGCAAAATAGAACAGCAGTAAAATAAATTATTTTAAGTGAGCCTCAAGGGATCAGTGGGTCCCAACCACTGCTCATATAGGATGAAAAATGCTTAAGTTATCCTAAGCCAGGATTTTATTAAATCAGTAATAGTTTTCTGGTTCAGTTAATATTAAGCAAAATCAAAGAAGCACTGAAAGTTTCTTTATACCATGTTTCTCTTGATTACAAAATCTACAGTAGAATGGCTGAATTAGAAGAAATTTTGTATTTTGGAGCAGATACCAGTCCTTAATCCAATTAAGATATTTTGACATTGATTAAAAAGGCATTCACTGAATTTTATTCGCATTTATACTCCTCAGAGACTATAAACAGCAAAGATATTGATAAATATTTACAATCTTCACCTATATATAAACTTACAGTGGAGCAGCAGAAAATTATGGATGATGAGATTACAACAGATGAAATTTTAAATGCAATTAAACAATTGAAAGTTGGTAAAGCTCCTGGGACGGATGGTTTAACAGCAACTTATTATAAGTCATTGTCAGCTATATTGTTACAACCTTTAAAAATTTTATTCAATAGAATTATGTTGGGAGAACAAATACCTCAGTCTTGGACAAGAGCCTTTATATCTCTGATACCGAAGGACGACAAAGAAATTTT